AATAAAGTTTTCTCCTTCTTTCTTATTAATTTTCTCTATATATTGTAAGGTATCTTCCATTTCTTTAAAGGTGAAAGTTGTCCAGGCATTACCATTGAGAAAGTCTTTGTTGAATGGCAGCATGTTTTTAGGTAGACTCAAGGCATCTTGGAGATAGGCTAAACATTCTTTTTTTGTATTTCCTGATATTTTGAAGATAAGAATTCCAACCTTAAATTCTCCTTTCTTGGTAATATAAAATGGATTTAAATTGGATGGCTTAGATTTGTTTCGTGTATTATAGAAGATTTGTTCTGCTATATTTTCTCCTTCAACTCTTTCTTGGATATTTACCATTTCAAGTTCTTTCTCCAACTTTTTCTCTATTTCTTTATCACTCATTTCAACTTCAATATTATTCAAAATTTCAATCTCGATTGTTGGTTGAACTTTCATATTCATATTTGGAGTGGTGTTCTCATTTGAAGTTGAATTTCTTACTATAGAGTTTATAAACTTATCCTTGGTCTGAAAAATTTCCGGAGTATGGAAGGGAAGACTATTTGTAGAAGTATCTTGCTCCAAAATATGTTTGACTTTTTCTTTTAAGAAGGGTGCCATAAGATCTTTTTCTCTTTCTTGACCTTATGTCCATAAGTATAAGATATATATTTTAAGGATCTCTGCTTTAATGAATGTAGTTGGGTCTATATTTAAAATTTTTGCAAGAATACTATTAAGTATTGAGTATTCTGTTGGTCCTGATGTTTAATTGAATTTGTCTTGTGTAGTGAGAGTGTTGAAGATGATTTGGGTAGCTTATATTTCTTTTCTCTGATCATGTTTTTCAGCTATTCTGACTATTGTATTAAGGATATGTAGCTTTCTCTTTTTAGCAATTTGCATAATTCTCTATTCCTTTGTCATATTGGTTACGTGTAAAGAAGAATAAAATGCTGATTCGTTGTTTTGTTTATCCTTAATTTGTATATTTGTTTATATTTAACAAGATATATGGGGTTAATTATTTGTTGTCTTATTTAATGTCTTGTTTACTTGGATGAGTTATTGATCCTTCCTGTTTAGTTCTATTTATTTATCAGATTTGATGTTGATCTCCTTTATTATAAAAAATAAGTCATTTTTATGTAGACACTTAATAAACCTTACTATGTTGTTTTGATGCTGAATTGTTTAATGTGTACACATTCATATAACTTGTTTTAATGTTTAGACAGGTGTGTATAGAATCAGAATACTCTACTGCTTAGTTCTTAAGAGCCTTTGATATCTTTCTAGACTTTGTAAACTTTGAGTTTTTTTTGATTTATCAGTAGGAACTATTGTTTGTAAAGTTTCTTCTAGTACCTAGAAAGGTGTAAACTGACATTGGCCTGGTTAAAAGCTTGGGAAGTCGATATTGAGCCCTCTTAAGCTTACTATGAATCAGCTTATAGATATGTTTTCCTTCCCTTATAAAGTAAAGCTAGTGTAATGCTGTACTGTCAAAACTTCTTTTAATCAATGGAGTGATCTCTTGAAGGAATGGTTGAATATTCTAATTTGTTATTAAGTCTTGGATCTTTGAGAAATAAGGTGTTTTTAGGCTGGCTTCTCTTTTCCAAAAAAATTATCAAAAAAGAAAATTTTTAAGGAAAAAGTGAATCAGCAGAAAGAGTTTTTTTTTTTTTTTTTCCAACTATATATATTCAACTTTTAGAAAACAATTATGATATCAAAAGATAAGTGACATATAGATAAAAGATCCAACTTCCATCTTTTATTAAGTTCCTCAAGTGATAAAAAGGCTTTTTTGAGCCAAAATTGAGGTTTTCAAGCATATATCCCAGTTAGATAAAGTTCTTGAAAAGATTTTTTTATTCCAATTAAACAATTTCTTCTATAATATAATGCTAGCTCTAATAATATTAAGTGAATTCATATATCAGCAGAAAAATAAATTCCTTAAACATTCTTCTTAAAGTCACTTTCAGGTATGATTAAGTTCCTTAAATATCATAAAGCTTAAAGGATATCTCAATTAAACAAATCCTTTTCGAAAGGAAACTATAAAATAGAACAAGAACCTTTTGAAAGGCTTTGAATTGTATTTTTTTTTTTTTTCTTTTTCTAGTGCCATACTTTAAAAATTTATTATTTTTCAGAATAAATAACAATGACAAACTATTGATAATGACTCTAGTTGACTTAGAGGTACTATACCAAACTACTAAAAGAGCATAATATTATTTTTTAAATTTGACTTAAAATACTTAGCTTAGACTTAATTTTGTTTAGTCTGAACTAGCTTAGTGAATTTCATATATTTTTTAAGTAATATAATCTTTCAATTAATAATATATAATAATAAGTTAGTTGCTTTGTAAAAAGTCTGTAAAATATTTTGATATTTTTTAATATCTCAATAAAGATACATCAAAGTGATATAATTGTAAATTAAAAAAAAAAAAACAAAAACAAAAAATAATAATAAACATTTATTAAAATGTTTAATTTATAAAAACTATTTATAAAAAATATAAAATAAAAAAATAAATAGAATTTTTAAAAATTTCAAAGAGTTTTTATAAAAAAAAAAAAAAAGAGATGAAAAAAAATTTTTAAATAGATTATAAATAATCAAGAAAAATTGGAAAAGTTTAATAAGTTGATCTTTAGATTAGTAAAACAAATTTTAAAAACTAATTAAGATATTTTTTTTTTTATTTTTTTTTAACCTGTAGTTAGGCCAATACTGTGTGTTTATTAATCATTAAGAAAACTGATTGAGATACATAAGGCAATTGCATAATAGCTAAACTAAAACTTATATTGACACACTTATCAATGACTTTCAATTCTCAAAAAAGCTTCAGCCTTTAAGTGCAATCTTGAAAACAATATTTCACTTTGAATTAAGTTTTGGATAAAGACCCTTCTAACTTACCCATCATTGCCAGCAAGTTGTCACTGCTTATTATTCTTCAAGGAACTGAATTCGAGAAACTATAAAAGGAGAAAGGAAAAAATAAAAAGAAAAAGGAATATTTAAAATGTACAAATGCATTACATAAAAATAAAAAAAAAAAAAAAAATTTGAAATTGCTCTATATCCTTCAAAGAACCTCTGCTAAAAACCTCTTCTCATTAGGAATCAACCCTTTTAGGATATCCTTCTTCTTCTTAACTGTTTGAAGAATTTATTTATCTATGCTCTTGATTATTTTCTTATGACCATCTGAGGTACTTATTGCCTATTTGGATCCAATATCTTGCTCAACACTTCCTTTTTTTCAGTCTTAATTTTATATCCACCTGTATAGAACTAAATAACTAATAGTAGATCCCAGGTTCTTATGTGACTTTTTAGTCTTGTTATGTAATTCTCAATATCTTTCAACAATCACACCTGATTCAAGGAATTTTACTGGTATATATCTTCCATTATTCAAAAAGTCAGATTCATCAACAATCTTTTTACCTTACAATGGTGAAAAGGTCTCAGATAGTATAATGATCCTTATTGATTATGATATTATTACACAATATTTGGAAAATGTATTCTCAATTCTAGAAAATGGCAGTGTTTTACATTCCTTTGCTTTTCGATCTTATAGCCTGACCAGGATAAGAAAATAATTTCCTTTATATACTTTGTCTAACTGGGATAATAAGAAGTTGAAGGTTTCAGCTTGAACAAATAATTATCTTTTCATCACTTAGGGAATTTAGTACCCATTCTAATGGTCTTATAATTTCTTTGCTTCAGTTAAACTTCATTTGGAGAAGTGAAGAAGTTCGTATCCTTGATTTCTCTTTCAATTATCAATAATGTCATCAGAACATGTGAGGTAATTAATAGAAGCTTGTTTAAATTCAGCTACTAACATGTTTCGTGTCAATTAATTAGATACCAGGTGACATTGTGCTATCAAAAATTCAGGGTCAAACTGAAATCGGTAAAATCTCTCACGAAAACTGTGAAAACCAGTAAGTATTTTAAGAGGGTATAAGACAGTATATGAGAAGGTGGAAAATAAGCCTTCCCCTATCAACAGAATCTCTATTTCTTGTTGCTTCTAGCTCTGTGAGGAGACATTCCACTTATTAGTCCTTTTATTTCCTAGAACCTTCTTGACTTTAGTAGAGGAAGTATGTACTTGGGTCTTTTTAAGTTACTAGAGGCTCAAGTTTTTATTTAAAGGAGTTTATAAATAAGTAAGGGGGGATAGAAGAGATAAATAAAGACAAGCTTCAAGTTATTTTAATAAAAGTATAAAGACTTTATTAGCAAGGAAGTATAAAACTTCTTGCAAATATCTTTTTTATATGTGATCAGAAAATCAATAGAAAGAGTATTTGTTTATATATAATCAATTAAAATATTTTAAGTTTTTATATTGATTTTATAAGAAATAATTTTATTTAAAAAATAATAGATCAGAAATATCATGAAAAATAAATAGGGAAAAAAGCAAAAAATGAATAATAAAAATATAAAAAAAAGTTTTATCTCTAATCAATTTTAAAAAAGAATCTGAAATAATAAGATATAAAAAGATAATTAAATAGAAATAAATATAAGAAATCTATAAAAAAGATAAGATAAAAAGATCTTCAAGTTTTTCAAATCAAAAAACAATATTTTCAATAAGAAAAGAATTATTATTAAAAGAAGAAAACTTAGAAGACAAAACCTAAAAAGAATCTTAACAAAAAAAATATATAGATATAAAATAAAATAATTATATTTAAATAAAGATTTGGCTTTAATGAAATATTTTATAATGTATAGCATTCAAATATTTAATAAAAATTATATAACTAATCTAATTTTTTTATCATTATTATTAAACAAATATAATCAACTTTATTTATAAATTGCATCTGAAGAATAACAATAAATAAATGAGTTAATATAGGATTAATGCGCATTCGTATGGAAAAAAAATAAATTGACATTGATAATCGCAAAGTCTCGTGATGTCATTGTTGCCAAATTGATTTCGTTATATATATAGGTTACAAGTACTTATTTTCCGGAGCTATTCACTCACGTATCAGAAAATATGGATCGTTTTAATCCTCAAAATACTCAGGATGAGAACTTCTCTTACCTTGAATATTCGGGTGGCGATACGCAAGCGTCACAATATGATTATAATGATTTTTCCATTGATTCAACATTGAACTCTCAACATACGAATAATTTAATTGACGGATCGCAATCACAGTTCGTCGAACCTGATTTAACGGGTGTTGGTGTTGACGAGATTGATCCCTTTCAAGACTTGACTACCGTTGAAGCACCTGATCATGCTTGCAGGTACCTTTTGATTATTTTATTTTTCTTTTTGAATAAGATCGGTCATTGATCCATTTCTTGCTGGCATTTTAATTCCAAAAGGTATTGCGGAATACATGCGGTGAATTCAGTAGCTAGATGCGTAACTTGCAACAAATGGTTCTGTAATTCCCGGGGTAATACGTCGGGTTCTCATGTCATTAACCACCTTGTGCGTGCCAAACACCGAGAGGTTGCTTTACATCCCGAATCCCCGCTCGGAGAAACAACACTTGAATGTTATAACTGTGGCTGCAGGAATGTTTTCTTGCTGGGATTTATCCCGGCAAAGAGTGATACTGTTGTTGTTCTGCTTTGCAGGTATTTTGCGTCCTGTTTTTTTCTTTTATTTGTAGGAGAAATTAAATTGTTAAATTTTTACAAATAATTATCGAATAGGCAGCCGTGCGCCGCTATTCCAAGCAGTAAAGACATGAACTGGGATACTTCACAGTGGCTTCCTCTCATAGATGATCGATGTTTTTTGCCATGGCTTGTAAAGGTTCCTAGTGAACAAGAGCAGCTTCGTGCACGACAAATTACTGCGCATCAGATAAACAAACTTGAGGAACTATGGAAGGATAATACAGAGGCGACGCTTGAGGACTTGGAGAAGCCTGGTATTGACGACGAACCTCAACCCGTTTTATTGAGGTAAAATTCTTGTCGGTTACGGAGTTTAATTATTTCAATTTCTCATTGAAGGTTAATTACTTTCTTAGATATGAAGATGCATATCAATATCAAAACATTTTTGGACCGTTGGTTAAAATGGAAGCAGATTATGATAAAAAATTAAAGGAGTCTCAGACGCAGGATGATATTATCGTTCGTTGGGATTTAGGATTAAATCAAAAGCGCGTTGCATGGTTCTACCTACCAAAGCTCGAGTCCGGGGGTATGTGAATAAAAATTCGATTTAGTTATAATGATTATTGCCAAATAATTGATGCTGAATTTTTGTCATTCACTAGAGGTCCGTTTGGCAGTTGGTGATGAGCTAAGGTTACGATACAGAGGCGAATTACATCAATCTTGGGAGTGTGTTGGACATGTTATCAAAATACCTAATAGTGAGTAAAACCGATATATATTATTCAATGCACTTTGTTTTGAATTGACCATATATCAACATTGCACGTTGCTAGATGTTAGTGATGAAGTGGGTTTGGAATTGCGCCGTAATGACAATACACCAGTAGACTGCACACACAATTTTTCGGTAGACTTTGTATGGAAGTCTACTAGCTTTGACAGGATGCAGGCAGCGATGAAAACATTCGCCGTAGATGAAACTTCTGTGAGCGGTTACATTTACCACAAGCTCTTAGGTCACGAGGTTGATTCGCAAGTTCTTAGAACTCAAATGCCAAAAAGGTTTGCATCACAATTGACATTTCATAATTTGTTTATTAAACGATATTTACGATATTTTTTAATGCCGATCGACCTTGATCTTTATTAGATTTTCCGCACCACATTTGCCAGAATTAAATCATTCTCAGGTCTATGCTGTAAAAAGTGTTTTACAAAAGCCTCTTAGTCTGATTCAAGGTCCACCAGGCACCGGAAAAACTGTAACTTCGGCTACCATCGTCTATCACCTCGCTAAGATGAACCCTGGGCAAGTATTGGTCTGCGCACCATCCAACGTTGCTGTAGATCAATTAACGGAGAAAGTCCACTTAACTGGATTGAAGGTTGTTCGTCTTACCGCAAAATCTCGCGAGGCATTGGATTCGCCCGTTTCATTCCTTACTTTACATGAGCAAGTGCACAACAATGACACCAATGTAGAATTGCAGAAGCTCATCCAGTTGAAGACTGAACAAGGTGAATTAAGTAGTTCCGATGAGAAAAAGTATAAAATGTTAAAGCGCGCCTGTGAAAGAGAAATTTTACAGGTATGGGGAATAAGTTCATCGGAAATTATGAATATGAGAATAAAAGTTTCCTACTTACATAGTAATTAATTTGCGCGATAGAATGCCGACGTTATTCTTTGCACATGCGTCGGGGCTGGGGATCCACGTTTGTCAAAGTTCAAGTTTCGTACCGTTCTGATCGACGAAGCGACTCAAGCAACGGAACCAGAATGCATGATACCACTCGTTCTCGGATGCAAGCAAGCCGTTCTTGTTGGCGATCACCAACAGCTTGGACCCGTAATCATGAACAAGAAAGCTGCCCGTGCAGGTTTATGTCAGTCGCTTTTTGAACGGTTGGTTATTTTAGGCATCCGGCCTATTCGATTACAAGTTCAATACCGTATGCATCCATGTCTTTCGGAGTTTCCTAGTAATATGTTTTATGAAGGGTCTTTGCAAAATGGAGTTACAACTCAAGAGCGTTTGCGAAAAAATGTGGATTTTCCTTGGCCCGCGCCGGAAACTCCAATGTTTTTTCACTCAAACTTGGGTCAAGAAGAAATTTCAAGTAGCGGGACTTCTTACTTGAATCGGTCAGTCTCTCAATATCATTCCTTTTGGATTAAACTCTTTAATGTACTCATACGAAAAATTTTGATATTTCAGCACTGAAGCATCAAATTGTGAGAAGGTTGTGACTAAATTCCTAAAATCAGGAATATTACCTAATCAAATTGGAATTATTACCCCGTACGAAGGTCAAAGAAGTTACGTTGTCAGCTACATGCAATTTAATGGTTCTTTACGAAAAGATTTATACAAAGAGATCGAAGTAGCGAGCGTTGATGCATTTCAGGGTCGTGAAAAAGATTATATTATCTTGAGTTGTGTTCGAAGTAATGAACACCAAGGTATCGGTTTTTTGAACGACCCACGTCGTCTGAATGTCGCTTTAACCCGAGCTCGTTACGGCGTTGTCATACTGGGAAACCCGAAGGTCTTGAGCAAGGTTTGAATGAACCTTTCATTATTTGCAATCTTATTGACAAAATCTAATCCCTTTAAAATATGACCAATCAGCATCCCCTATGGCACCATTTGTTGGTACACTATAAAGAGAAGGATTGTTTGGTGGAAGGTCCTCTAAATAACTTGAAAGTTAGCATGATTCTGTTTAGTCGGCCTCGTCGAGCTTATCGAAAGGACGACAAATTCCGGCAAGGGCTGTCACATCAAATTGATGCTCGTGAGGCTTTTGCGAAGCCTCCATTGGCCAGTGAAAGTGAGTGAAAGAGATTTGAATTTTATTCAGGTTTAACAACCGTTCGGATTGGTTAATATATATTTAATTATTTATTTACAGACCGCCGCGGTACCCGCGCATATGATCCCGATTTTATGAGGACGCACGATCCTGTTGGTTATATTCCCTCGGATATGCCTTCGATACCAGCATCATCTCAATTCAGCATTCCCTTGCTTCCGACTCCAAATGGTCCGTTCACTCAAGATTTATCACAGAGTAGTGTTTCTAGTCGAAAAAATTCCAAGCAACTTCAGAACTCAACGTACAATGGATACTCTAATTCGGTTTCTTCACAAGGCCCTCTCACACAAAACGCATATAACAGTCAAGGGTCAATGAGCCTCGCACTTTCGCAGTCTGATCGTCTCCGGATGATGGAAAATTCGAATCCTTCATTGGGCCACGGTTCACTCATGTCTCAGGATAGTTCGATCGGATATTTGGACGATTATAAGAGTCAAGGGGAGGACACTATCCTGAGCCAAGATTTTGAGATCCGATCACAGACCGGATATCAGTCTCAAAGTTTTACTCAGTATTAGTCGGACTCGATCTCCCAACCGCCAATTCAGGGCCGTTTGTATTACGTGTTACACGCTCCACTTGCACGTGTCCGGTAATTAGTGCACTTCAGCACTAGCGGCGCATGCTCGCTAGTTGGATTAGAACGTCATTTTACAGAATATTGCATATTGCGCAGAATCAGATTTCGTCCACACAAAATTGTTGTGCACATGCTTCATTTTGTATTTGTGATGCGCTCAACTGTACCTAGTTTTTAGATAGTCACCCTTCGTGAAGAGTTCTCAGCTAATGTGCGATGATGTACTGAAAACTTTATCAATTTCGATTAAATGGATCCTTTTTTATCAGTTTAAAGAGTACTCTCCGCATGTTCAGGTAGAATCTATTATTATATTAAATATTCATTGTAAAGTTGAAATGTTGAAATAAAATGATTGACCGATCCGATAATTTTATCACGTCGAAAACCTACCAGAAAGAGGTGAGTGTTGTACAGGAAGCAAAATCGGCTAGTCTCGGTTTTTATTGTTACCGTTGCGCAACTACGATCAAATTTTTGTGTATTCTCAAATAATTATGCTTGATGAATTAAATATATTGTATGAATTTTTATTGAATTATTAAGTATTCTTTTTTTGAAAGGTAAAACCATAAGCAATTTAAAAATAATTTTTTTTTATCACATAACTTATATATGATAAGCATTGATATAAATGAAACCAGTTAATTTATGTAAAATTCAAGTTTGCAATATATTTTGAATTATAAGAAAAGATGTTTTCTAAATAAAAGTATTACTTATTTGAATATTAATATACTGTATAATTTTTGAATAAGAAAATTAAAATTTTATTGAATAAATTATATAACTAATAAGAAATACCTTTTTATTATATACTGTACTTAAATATATTAAAATTTTTAAATTTATTACAAATTAATTATTTTATTATTATTAATTTTTTTAATCTAGCAATTAAACTATTTATGATTTATTTTTTTGATAACTATATAAACATTGATATACTGTATATTTTAAAATTATTTCTAAATTCAATTTAGAAAATATTATTTTATTTTTATTTTAATTATAAGAATTATTATCAACAAGTTATCAAATTAATTATTTATTAATTATTAAATTATAAAATTAAATTATATAAAAAAAAAAGAAAATAAAAAAGAAAGAATAAATTAAAATATATTATACTGTATAAGTATACAATAAGAAAAAAGTTAAAAAAAAACAATTTAAAGTTTTTTCAAAAGTCTTATTATCAAACTATTAAACAAAATTTATACAATATAGATTTTATTTTTTTATTAGAAAATTGATCATTACTATATATAGTAATTATTTTATTATTTTATTTTATTTTTATTTTAGGATTTTTTTATATAAAAATCAATTTTTTAATTTAAATTAATAATATTTTTTTTTTTTGTATATCCGTAACCAGGCTAGATCATTAGTTTATTAATCAAATGAAGACAAAAGTACATTTTTATTCGAGCAGCATGATACATACTATAGCTAAACTATCATTTAAATCTAACTAACTCGTCATAAGCATAAAAGCCTCTAAGTTCAGCCTTGGGGACAATATTTCACTCTGCAGTGTCTTTGGGTGAAGACCCTCCTAGTTCACTGCATCATTGCCAGCAGGTTGTTACTGCCGTATGTCGTACCAAGCTGCTGGATTACAGGAAACTACAAAAGGATGGATTGAAAAAAAAAGGAGGGGGATATCTAAAAATGTCTAAGTAGACCACAAGAAAATGAAAGAGTAAAAAATGAAAAAAATTATTTCCAGC